TCTTTGTTCCAGTTGTCCTGTGAAACTTGTAAGTCATTTAGGCAGGATAAGTGATGGGGTGAAGCGGACCTGGCTCCTGAAAGCCTCGAGGTCACCGTGTCTTGCAGTGTGAACCTAACTAGTCTCAAGTTTGTTATTATTTTGGCTTTGAGAAAGACTAGAAACAAGGATGGAAACAGAGGGGCGTACGGACTCTAACAAATGTCCCGCAGCTCGGAAATCGAATCACGGAAGTTGCAATTAGCTGCTGATTTGTTTTGAATGTGCACAACATCAGCAGGTCCTGCATGATTCTCTCACCTCGAGTCAAAGTTGAAACATGTAGTTTGGGTTAAAATAGTAAAGCAGAAAAACAAGAAGTTTGAGTTTACATTTTTGCAGATGGCATCATAGCTCATGTTCAGAACTTTCTTCTGCCATAATGTCATTATTTATGAAGCAATCATGAGCATTTACGTGTGGTTTCCTCAGTTTACTTCTGCGTTTTCACATCGCTAATCCGTCTGTTCCTGCACTGTAAGGTGACCATCGACTTGGAGCTCCACCTCAACAAGAGGACTAACTCGAAGTCTTCCAAAGGACCTTTCGCGCACTACGACGTTTACCTCTACAGGGTTCCCAAAACCAAAGCCCAGATCCCCAACGGTCCAAGTACCAGGACTGTAAACGGCCCCAGCAGAGCCAAGGGCCGAGTCCTGCGGTGGGAGGACGACCTGTACCAGCCCCGTCCCCCTTGTTCCATCTGCAGCCCCGTCAGCGCTCGCTCTCTGCCGGCCACCGTGTTCAACGAGCTTCAGCGGCCCAGACCGTGGACACTAAACCCCTACACCCCCTGACGAACACTTCTTACGTCTCACTGTGCTGACTGACATCTCTAAATTTGTTCTGTGTTGTATTTTGTTGGAGTTTATAAGAAGTTTTCAAACAATGAAAAGGACATTTACACAAACCTCTATGAGGTTTCGCTTTCACCTGCCTAATGTCAGGTGGAAGTTAGAGCCTGAGGTGGAGGTGTTGAACCAGGACAACGGAGCTGACGGGACACACATGGAAAGTGACTCAGGTGTAGTTGTGTTTGCTTGTATTGTTGTTGCAGGGAACCACCGGCCTCCTCGAACAGCCGACACACAGTCTGGATTCCAAAAAGTGAATTACTGTTGGCAACTGAGTCAAGCTAAATGTATGGTGTCGTCTCAAAGTGGAGAAAAAAAAAAATCCAGTAACAGTAAATTTGCAGATTTAATGGAAAAAGGTCTTTTAAAAAAAAAGTTTTAATTTATTTACATTCATTTTTCTGTGTCAACTGGTGCTCATCCACAAACATCAGGCTGTTTTCTAGAAAGAAAAATATTATTTTGATGTTTAAAAAGTTTTATGAATTTTTAATTTATTAACTATTAACTGCTTTGGAAACCAATAATAGCAAAATTATTTATTTATTTTTTAAAAAAGGGACACATAAAAATGAAAGTAAATAGCAATAATGTGCTTTTTTATTTTTATTTTTTAAAAGTAAGTCCACAAAATACAATAAACAAAAAGTCTAATAAATGGTTTGTCTTTCCACTGTACATACATAATGGTGATACTATTCTAACTATACTGTGCTGCTGGTTTGCTCAGGGACACTTCAGTGGCCGTAGACTCCAACCACAAAGGCTTCGTGCAGACGTTTATTTATACGTTTGTGTATCTGTGCCAGCGATTACACCAGGCCAAGCGGGCAGTTGGCCAAAAGACGAGTCAATGAGAGCTCATTGGATTGTTCTGTATCGCTCCTCTCACACGACACGGTGATCCCGGTACATTCGGCTTGCCCACGTCTGACTCAGCAAGTGTAAAACAATCTGTCTAAATGTGTAGAATATTAATTATATGGTACCTTATTGATCTGTGCCGGAATGGTTGCTTGTTTTCAGACAAAGTCGCGGCGCTTCAGTCTCAGTTTTGATGACTCATTACTCAAATTACTGAATGTTTTCATTGTGTGAGCTTCAAAGCCTGAGATAAATCTAATTTGCATGTGTGCTGATAGTTTAATGGAGTGTGGGGCCAATATGTGGAGAGAATTGATGAAAATGTACGTCGAAACACGTCAAATGAAAGCAAAGTGCTTTAACTGCTGAAGTGCTAAACTACAACAGCTTCATAATGTTGATCTTTGAAGCTGCTCTGATCGACATTTTCTTATAAACGAGGGATGAAATGATCGTGTGCAATGTGAACGGAAGACTTCACCACAAATACAACATTATTACTGTTGTCTGACATGTGGATGGGAAAAGTTTTATTTTAACCCAAACCATGAGGATTTTGGTGCTTAAATATAAATGCAAATATAACTGAAAAAAAGCTGAATAATATGGGAAGTATATCTAAAAATAATGGAATCTGCCTACTTGGTCTGATCACCGCCACACCTGCCTCCTGAAAATTCAGAATTTGGTGCTTTTTGTATTACAGCACCCATATATATGTCATTTCTGCATTCATATGTGTCATTTTTAAACCATTGAAATTGAAAATCGACCTCCTCTCTCGTGGACTTGCTGGTAAAAGGTGGTGGTCACACTATCATCTATTTCCCCCTCAGCTTTCACGAAGCCTTTTAGCATCTTTCAGCTCACTGTTTTGGTTTTGCAGGCTGCAGCTTTACTGTTTTGGTTCAGTCTCACTGCTCTCAACCGACTGTTTCCTTCCTGCAAACCACCAAACAGCAGACAGGTAACAACTAGCTGGTGAATAAAACGGGGCCATAAATACATAATTTCTCAGGAGTTAGTGGAGACCAAACAGAGCTCGGATATTCACCAGGTGGACACGAACATGATTTCAAACTTTGCATCATATTTACTGATATAAAAACGTCAAATGGTCACGTATTAAACTGATGCAAGCGTTAATGTCTCATTTTGGATTACAGCATTTTAAAGACCGAAGAGTTTTTAAATATGTCACCAAAATCTGGCCGTGTAGATTTACTGCAATGACAGCCTCGATCTCTTTGATACTGAGCTGTTTCAGAGCTGCACACTGCCATCTGCTGATTGGAAAACATGTTCAATGGTTAATTTCCTATCTCCCATTTTACATGTAAGTGTTTTATTCAGCTGTTCTGCATGAAGCATGAGCGTAAGATGGATGACATATATGAACCAGATCACGTCTAAAAGCAGCTTTTCAAGGCAGGAACACAAACCTTTCTCCAAGTATCGATAATAAAACATTTCTGTGACAACGTGTCTGCATTCGATGTGGTGAACTTCAATCGGCAAGGTTTTAGTTTTGTTTAACGTCGCCGTTGTAATAACTCTGAATAATGTTGGATTTAAACTGATCACACACGAGGAAGATGATGCTGACTGTCCTCGTCACTGATGTACAGCACGTGCACAAGAACAGAAAACAGAAGACGAACATTAAAGCGTTATTTCTCTGAAAGAAGACTTCAGAAACCTCCAGTGTGACAAAACCTAATAAGCAGAACAAAACAGATAAAACTGAGGGTTCTGATGCTGTAAAGTAAGCACACTGCACACCAGAGGTTAAAGGTACTAATCTTCTGATCATATTTCTTGGTTTTATCAAACTATTATTTAAATCAAACTTCAATGATCAGGACACATCTACCGTGTCATATGTTGTGAACACAGATTAGTGCATGCTTGTCAGTTCAGGTAAAGAGTTGTGCTACTAAAACATCTCAAGACTAAACCTTAAGTTATTTTATGCAGAAGAAGCATCCATCCATCATCTATACACCACTCAATCCTCACTAGGGTCATGGGGGGCTGGAGTCTATTCCACCTGACTCAGGGTGAAGGCAGGTTCACCTGGACAGGTAACCAGTCTATCACAGGGCTACACTTAGAGACAGACAACCAAGCACACTCACATTCACACCTACGGACAATTTAGAATCACCAATTAACCTCAACATGTTTCTGGACTGTGGGAGGAAGCCGGAGAACCTGGAGAGAACCCACACTGCACGGGGAGAACATGGAGACTCCACACAGAAAGATCCCGGGTGTCCTCACCGGGATGCGAACCGGCGACCTTCTAGCTGCGAGGCACCAACTGCGTGCAGCCCCCAGAAGAAGCATGCTGAGTCAAAAAAAGATGGACTAAAACCATACTTTACAGAATGTTTTTAACATTTGAATAGCTTCAACATAATATCCATGATGAATAAAAAGTCTATTCAAATGATGGTGTAAAATCTGCAAGCTGGAATGTAGGGGATTACAAAATAACACGACGATATATAACTACAATTTTTAGGTGGTACGCTAAGCATAAAAACACAAGTTTTGTATTAGAGAATTGCTTTTATCTGTTTGCTATGTTACTCTTGATTCACATTTAGAGGATAAAATGATATTAATGTAAAGAAAAACCTGTTGAACAGTAAAGACCAGAGTGCAGATTTGGTGTCTCTGATCTGGAATTTGTCATCATCGTGATGGGAATCATTTATTTTCTGACATTTAGCTGTGGCTGGAATATTCCTGAGTGCAACTATTACAAAGACAGCTACTGCTACGAATATTACTAATACACCCATGCATTTATGTATGATGCATTTATGTACTGCTGCTGCTGCTACAGTACTGATGCTGTTCTCCACTGCTACAGCTGTCAGTCATTAACACCGTACCACCAGCAGGAGGCGCTGCCCGCAAGACAAACTGGATGGAGACGCTGAAGAAGTTGCCATGTGCGAGCAGAGATCGTCTATATACGTAGAGTCGTTACTCAGTCACAGATTCGGCACCGTTGGATTTGAAAAAAACATTTCCTTATTAAAAGCTAATATTGAGTGTTTGGATTTCAGATCATTTTGTAATTCAAATCAGATAAAATGCGCAAAAACTATTCTCTAGCCAAATAAATGTGCAGTTGTGGACCGCGTCTTCGTTGTCAAAAGGAAATACATGCGGAGTGAGACCTCGTGTTTTTATTTCTTATCTTTACCTGACGTTAGCTCAGCAGCTAGCACAGAGAGAAGCTTTCTAATCTGTTATAGGTTAAAGTAGGACCTCTGACTTTACATTTTAACCCATGAATACACAAAGACAGACTTTTAGATGTACCCCTAGTTGCAGGTCCTGTTTTATAACGTTGATTCCGCTAACTTACAAACCGCTTAGCTTGTTTTATGTACAGTTAGCTTAGCTAGCACTGGTAGCTATGTTTACAGAGCTCAACAGTATCCTGAACAGCACTCCCGACAGCTTCACAAGGGTGAGCATTTAACATTTCTCATTTATTTAGCTTGGTGATCTGCTCTGGAACTATCTCTGTTAGGATGTAGAAGATACTGGACTCCATGCTAACGTGAAAAGTTCCTGATATTTTGCAGCTGAGTAGCCTGCAAACTGAACAGCATCCTCATTTTGCTGATATAATGTTGTTGATGTCACCTTCACTTGCAGAAAGAGTTTGTGTTGTTGTCAGACAGACAGAGTGATGCCTCTTTCCTCATCCACCACTTCCTGTCCTTCTACCTTAGAGGTGAGTTGTGACACCTGTCAGGATGTTGTCAGAATGGGTGGCACTTTTTTTTAAAAATTGTATTTCTGTAACAGCTGTTGTCTGTTTTTTTTTTTCTTAGCAAGATGCAAAGTGTGTTTTCTGGGTCTGGTGCAGTCCTTCAGTCACTACAGTGCAATAAGTCAAAGGCTGGTGAGTGTCTTTCCCATCAATAGTCTCTTGCTTATAAATTTTACATCACTGAGCTTCAGAAGACCTAAAAAATAATGTCTATTGCAAATGTCTCCAAACACGGCAGTAGTTATAAGATTGTCAGTTCTCTGTACTCGGGTACTGATGGGTATATTTCACCGTTAGGCCTTTTTCAGACATGGTTTTGTAACATCACTCAGTTAAAGTGATGGCATTCTGTCGTTGCTGCAAGGTGGAGCGGTGGTTAGCACTGTTGCCTCACAGCTCGGTCGCCGGTTCGCGTCCTGGTGAGGACACCCGGGATCTTTCTGCGTGGAGTCTCCATGTTCGTCCATGTTCAGCGTGGGTTCTCTCCGGCTTCTCCGACTTCCTCCTACAGTCCAAAAACATGTTGAGATTAATTGGTGATTGTAAATTGTCCGTAGATGTGAATGTGAGTGTGCTTGGTTGTCTGTCTCTAAGTGTAGCCCTGTGATAGACTGGTTACCTGTCCAGGTGAACCTGCCTTCACCCTGAGTCAGCTGGGATAGACTCCAGCCCCCCATGACCCTAGTGAGGATTAAGCGGTGTATAGATAATGGATGGATGGATGTTCGTCACAGCTTCCTTCAGACAATACCCATCCTAGGGATGGAGAGCCACAGCTTCATTCAGACAATACCCATCCTAGGGATGGAGAGCCACGGGCAATACTTGTCATACACTCAAGACTAGACAGTACATGAAATGATGTATATTGCATGATGATGTAACAATAAACTAATATTGACATTATCAAGCCGTCCAATAAATAATAGCCTCGTTTTTTTTCAGATTTTCTAAACACTGACAAACCCGTCTGTGTTTTGCTAATTTAACTATTACTTTATAAACAGTAAAATAACCGGAGAACTGTAATGGCACTTAATACTCAACCTGAGAATGGACACTGTACAATAAATGATTTATAAACTGTTTCTCTGTGTGGCAGCTAATGCTGTTGTGCTGAGATGCTCGTATTGATCTGGCTGCAGGGATTTAGTAAACTAAAAGACTCCTACAAACAGCTGGAAGCACCAAACTAAACTCATTATTCGTGAATCTAACCAATCGGATTATCTCTGTCTTCAAGCAGTGATGCTCTTTTTTTAATGGGTATTTAGGTGAACGAGAAAGGTGCTTTTTGAGAGCACACTATGTCTTTTGTTCACCCTGTGATGCTTTAGACTAATATTGGAGCAGAAATGTGAAAAAGGTCTTCCCCACATTGGTTCCCACAACCCAGAGTACATTGTTTGTCTGTGCCTATCCGTTAATGCGAATGCAGTTTAGACTTGTGCCAGGTTGAAAGTAATACGGAAAGTTTACTGTGTAAGACCGCTGTAGTGACTGTTGTGGAAAAGCAAACAAGCTTCTCATTCAAAAGGTTCTTAGTTTGATGGAAACTAGTGTCTGAAAGGGGCTTTGTCCTGTTTTTTTTTTTTTTTCTTGAATACATACAAACTGAATTATGGCTGTGTCTTTCTTTGACTTCTGTGTGTGCAATGTGTGTCCTCAGGGTGTGAGTCTAACACAGGCAAAGGAGAAAGGTCAGCTGATCTTCCTTGAGGGACTGAAGGAGTCGCTGTCGATTTTGATTCCTCAGGAAGGAAACGCTGAAAGTCAAGCCGTGGACTTCCTGAGGTACAATCCAATATTCACTGTCCTTTCTCATCGTCACACTGTCGGCATTAAATCCTGCACACGTTTAGATAGTTTATCGTCATGGTGTCAGTTTGTTGTCGCTTCACTTTAATATCTATCTGTATTACAAATCCTATAGTTAAAAAACACACCCTGTAATACACCCCACGGTCATCTCCATCTCCATCTCCATCAGGGATCCCACTGTTGGCCTGCGGTGTCTGTATGAGTTTGTCCAGTCCAGTCTGAGCAGTTCCGGCGGTGGGGAGGATGGGACAGAGGAGTGGGGGCCTCCTGTGTTGCTGGTGGATGACATCAGTGTGCTGTTGAGTCTGGGAGTGAATGCTGGAGCCGTGCTGGACTTCAGCCACTACTGCAGAGCCACAGTCTGCTCCCAGCTACAGGTTGGACGTCCTTTCAGTCAAAGTCTTTTCCGCTAACGAGCGCTCACGTGCTGTAACGTTTGGTTACGATGAGGGTGGATGTAAAGCTCATATTGACTCTGATTTGGATCACAGGGGAACATGGTGATGCTGGTACGCTGCGATGGGGAAGAAGAGGGCGATGACGGAGACGATGAAGGCCCAGAGCTGCTCCTGAAGGGTCTCACCCACCAGTGTAGCCTCACTCTTCATGTTCAGGGTCTCCCAACTGGCTACTGCAGGGACATACACGGGCAGGTGTGTGTGTGTACAGACACAGCTGTTCATACTCTGATGGATCTGATTGAACATACATTTACATCAGCTATGGATTTGCCTATCTGGGTTATTTTTCTGCATAGAAAATTTAATGTATATACTGTTTGCACAAACAATGATTAACCTATTGATTGTTTTCTTGACTAATGTTTTGGTCTATAAAATGTCTTCCTCAGAGCTGAAAGTGCTTGATATGTCAGTTAATGCTTCAAAACCTAAGTTTACGATCATGTCATGATACTCCAGTGTGAAGAACTGCTCGATTTTGTGGCAATTTCTCCTAAAAACAATGACAAACAAATAACTTGACAATTATTGCAGACTGCATTTATGTCGATTGACTTGTCAAGTAATTGTTTAATCATTTCAGTTGTACCAGATATGAGAAAAAAGCATTTCAGTGAGAACGTAGGCCTGTTACACCACTCGTATTTGTTAGCTTTCGCCGTAGTGAAGCAGTGGAAAAATCTAGCAGAACACGTTCCAAAAACCAAAGTCAAACAGTACATGTAGCACAAGGTGTACAACATGCCAAGACAACCAGTAAAGCAGCAGTGCTCCTTGTTTTTCAGGTGGAGGTGTGTTGGAGGAGGAGACAAGGCGATGGGCAGCACACACAGAAGAAACTCTTTCAGTACAAGGTCCACGATAAGGGAGCTTCCTTCTTCGCTCGTGGGACATCCAGTGCCGTCCTCTAGCGCCGCCGCTTAGCATCCTTGTTTTGTTCTCTTTTACATTTTGTTTTGATATCGCAAGACATTGCAAAAATGGCTGGTGCATTAGCCAAGCTTTACATATGGCTGATCGGTAAGCCAGCCTGAACCTCTGGAGGAGCAGCAGCACCGTGATCCGGGTTCCAGACCTCTGAACGGTAGCCCGCCTGTGGAGCTATCGGTCCTCAGTATGTGGTCCCTTTGCTGTCAGCAGAAACACACAGATCATGGGACTGCCGGTGCTTGGAAAATACTCCTGGAGCTGTAATGCAACTGGATATTTATACCAATAAAAATCCATTAAAACATTAACTGTTGTGATTTTGTGGGCCCGCTAGAGGTCGCTCTGTCCCTTCTGTCCGCGGCGCAGGGTGAGAGGTCGGAGTGGAGAGGTCTCACTGGGATTTGACAACCAGTAGAAACCGAGCTCCTGCATGTCGGCGTCAGATGCGAGGCGTACGCGTTAGCCTTTAGCAAATCTCCAAAACAAAGCGATAATACGTCGGTTTGCTCGTTAAGTTTACTCGGGAGGACAACGGCAACGACAAAAACCACGACATTTGGAGACCTCTGAAGTTTGTGCAGGCAAGTGTGCGAACGGTTAAGCTTGTAACCCGCTAGCATTAGCTTCGGTTGCGAAAGTTGTCTTCGTGGTAGTGAAACGGCATGGGAGCTGTTGGACTGTTTAATCACATAGCAATGCTACCTGCTGCTAGCTTCGGTTGTGGCAGCGATAATAACCGCTGCTGGGCTCGCAGGCTTCAGATTTGCTCGGTACCATTACACATTAGCCCACAACACTCAAAACCACATTATACGACAGTATAAGTACAAGTTGACGTTATGCTAACAGCAAGCAAGCTAACTTTAGCGGTGCGTTAACATTTGGCAGCGTTGTTAGCAGCAAACGTATTTCGTATTTTCACTCTGACAGCAATGGTAAGTCTATGTTAACAATGCTTACCCCCTCACCATTTTTACGCACTATAAACTTTACTAGCGAAGTCAATATTAAATGGTACCCCGAGTTCACTGGGTTCATTGGGGGAGCTAACCAAGCTAGCCGTTTGCTAGCAACATTAGCCTTTAGCTTGGTGCCATATCACAAGTTGTGTGAAGCTACTGAGAAGGTAAAACATTTCCATTTAACGTTATACTCGTGTGCTTAGCTGTGACCGTTAATATAACCTACAATTAGCTATTGCAGCTGTTAGGTTTCATAGTTTCAGTGAAATTCCTCTGCTTGTAGAGTATTGATGCGATGGATGTCACGTTGGAAGCGTGAGCGAGCTAAAAAAAAATACGAATGTTTGTCATCAATATCTGCAGTTCATTAATTCTGTTTACTTGTCTCGAAAACCCGGGTCTAAGCATCTATTTCTGTTGGTATTTGTAAGACCTTAAAGTAAGTTTAATGCAGTGTAAGTTGTAGGTGATGGCTAACATCAGCTAGCTGTTTCCACCAACGTTAGTCAGCTAGGAAGTTGATACTTGGAGGCTGGGTGCTGAGAAGGGATTCACTTATGAATATACGTTCTCTTAGTCAGAGCAAACAGTGAGGCTTGTGTGTTTGTTCCCTGTGGGTGTTTAAATTGCACGACAATGTAAATAATTAGGCCCTCGTCTGCACATGCTAGTTGGGTGGTTTCTTCACTTTATCGTGTCAAGTTGTTGACAGAGGCCATTAGCTGCTGCTGCTTGGTGAGGAGTTGCAGGAGACGTGCTGATGTTGGAACCGTTTTGTTGTCACTGATGTCATCTTACGCCGGTGTGGAAACGTGGTGGCATGTGGTTGTCATTTTGCAAACAAAAAAAATAAAAATCTGACAAGTGTACGTATCTAAAAGTGAGCAGTATGTATTTATGGAATAACTGGGACAGCGTGCAGCAGCCCCTGGGCATCCCTGGCTTTGGGAGCCTCGGTGCTAACTTGTTCTTAGCAGGTGATGTTACGACAGGGTTGCATCATCCCGGCCATCCGTGCATGTGTTCCTTGTCTTGTGAGGACTGTTTCACCGTTTTAGCTGGTTTAGTAAACTCTAAATTGTGAATACAGTTGCTTGAAGTGGAAGAAATCGACTTTTTGCATTAATTGTAATACTCTGTCTAAATATGTGTGCAAAACATGCATAATTAATTAAAAAAAAAAAAAACAATCAAGATTTAATGTGGCTTTATTTTCTTCTTCTTCTTCCTCTGAGGACCTTTTCTAGAAATTTAGAAATCCTTTAGGGGAAATGGACTGGCTGTTACAAGACACTTGTTATTACAAAATGGTTACTCATTGACAGGACATATCCCCCCTTTGTCACCAGCCCCGGTTGTAAAAGGCTGTGTTGCAGTAATTCACTCATTGAGCTTGTGTCTACATTTACAACAAGACTAATCGTCTTCGCTGATCAGAGGCGCATGCTTCAGCATTATGCAACTATGTCGCTGAATTTCGATGCAGTTACGCTGTGGAGAATGGACGCAGCCTGAAGCTGTCTGGGATGCTTGAGGATACTGGAATGGCTTTTGGCTTGCAGTAATTAATGTGGAGATATTCATTAAGGCCTGTAAATGCATTGCGTGATACTCAAAGTCGCTGATTATGCCACTGGATTCTATAAACCCTGGAGATGCCTTCAAGTTGGGCATTTTAGGAAGTGTTGAAAAAAGGTAAGCTGTGGCTTTTGCTTTTTTTTCACAATCCCCCTTTCCAGTGTAGAGCACTTCTAACTGTGCTTTGTCAGTTTTTAAAAAAGAGTTGAGCCTACTCAAACTCACGGCACTGTTTTCCTCACAGCACTGTTGTAGGCATGTGGCATTACAAATCTAACTTAATCTGCAAGCCATCTAATTAGGCTGGAGAGACCCACAATGATCTCCCTAACTGAATTTGTGCTTGCAGTGTGAAACACTGTCATGTCTGTCGCTGTGTTTTTGGTTGCAACTAAGTGTGCTGGCTGCTCACGTGGGAGGTAGATAGACTGTTCTTTGTTTGATTAATATTTGTCAAGAATACAAAAGCAGTAGTTTTTATCAGGACATTTTCTGTGCTGTTGTCATAAGCATTCATTTGTGGTAAGCTGGGTTTTAGCAGAAAGGTTATTTGTATTTTCATCAGTTGTAGTAGCTGGTATATCCCAACAGACATCATCCAGGCATACAGAACAGGCTTTCCAAACAATTGCTGGTCACCTGCCAAAAATGCTGAGGAGAACACAGATTCACCAGCCTGGGACCACTGCTTACCAGCACTTGACCTGTGGCTGCTGTTCATTTTCCTCCCTGTTTGGGAAGTTTTTTTTGCTGTTAAAGGCTCCCTCAGACTTGCCATGCTTTTGAGACATGAACGTCTTGGCTTTGTATGACTGGCAGGATAGACGGCGGGCAGGCTGTGACCAGAGGAGGAAGAAAACAGTGGGGGTTGGCCATAGGGCCTGAGCCCTGCTCGTTGAGTTTCCGATCAGCTCAATCCCGGATTAGTTCACTGACGGAGATGCTGCTGAGCCTTTGCCAAATCAGGCCTTACAGCTACACCCGCACAACCCTACGGCACGCAGTAACTGGACAGACAGCTGAGAGATGGAGGCGTTCATTGAAAGTTTTCACTGGCAGGACGGCGAGTGGAACCAGGACCTGGCTGAGAGGGGGCACTCCTTCAGCAACAGAGAGTAGAAAGGCGTTGCTTCAAAACTCTCTTTTGACCTCTGCAAAGCCTATTGTGCAAGCTTGCTGGGACACTGCTGTGTTTACTGTATAGAGTATTTATAACAGCAGATCAAGAGACTCCTGAGGCGAATTCCTCCCAGGGAATGTTTCCGTTGCTCTCGGGGGGACAAGCCGAGCACTCGCGCACTCTGCCTGAGTCAAGAAGGGAGCACTATGTTCACCCAAAGGCACAGATTAAGCTAAAAAAAGCCCTGTGCCGCTGCTTTCAGGGGACGTAAACGGGTGCGAACTAGAGACATAAACTGGGCTCCCATTAGCAGGTACGGTCTCAGAGAAGTGCCGAGCTTATATGGATGCACACAGCTTAGTAATGATGGATGTTGTGTTGTTAACACATTGTGCTGCCTGTTGACATCATGGTGAGCGAGAGAGGCGGTAAGAATCAGAAGAATGAGATACTGTACAGCTGCGGTACATGTGTCAGGAAAGCCGGTTAAATATTGTAACAGGGGCCGTGTGTGACTACAAACACTGATAGGTAGCGCTGAACCTGTTCTCTGAGCAAACACAGAGCCAGGAGCTGAGATTTGGACGGAGAAGTCAACAGGAGATTAAGCTGATATAGGAAACTAAAATAGCTGATTCTGTTTGAAGTGAGCTGCACCAGCATTGAGATAAACTTTCACACGTTTGTCGCTCAAATGGATGTTATGCCGGAACTGTGTCGGTGGGCCGTGATGAGTTTTGTGAAATCAAAATATGAGTATAATTCAGTTCAGTGACTTTTAGTGCAGTCATACTGTGGCGGTTGAACATATCTTATTTTACTTTATGTAATTCATGGATTTAACCGTCTGAGATAGTGATTTTAACATTTTTATTTGTTAATTTGAACAAAATAGTAAAATTCCTCTTTCACATGTGGCATTTTCTGCACAATTTGTGTTATTATACTGATTAGAGCTGAAACAAGGCGTCACTGTATTGAATATCAGCTGCTTGTTTTAATGCTGGAAAGTGCATTTTTATGGTTAAGCACTACAACCCTCCGCTGAGCTTTCTTACCCAAGTGGAAGTTTGCACACTGTCTTCGAAGACAAGGCAGTTATCAGCGAACGTGGAGGTTGTTTTTTTCCTCAGGTGTGGGTGAGGAGACATCTGGTTTCTTCGGTCTAACTGCTCTGCTGGAATTGGATGTTTTCTACAGAGGGGAATGTGTCCACACCTTTTTGGCTGCTGAATGAGCCGTGTGTCTAAGTGCTGTCTAGCATGTGACCGCAGTGCGAGCTGGTCTGAAGGAAAAACACACCATTGCCTTTAGTCAGCAGCATGTGCGCCGGCACAAGAAGTGTGTATCTAATTAGGTGTTTAAGACAGAGCTTCTCAGTAGCAGAGATGATGTGTGTTTGTGAGTGTGTTGGACTGTAGAGATATATTACAGATTTGCTCTGATAAGATGCAATATGCAAAATATTGGTAGATATGTATCCATGGGCTGTAGTTAATCTTACAGTGTGTTTATGCCATGCTTTGAAAACTAGACAACAGAGATCACATCACTTTGACAAAGATGCACAAACATGAAATTTGTTGCTGTCATTAAAAATGTTAAGAAAATGTTTAGCATTGGAGTATAAATCTGCATATATATATTGATTGACTGTCGAGGAATGTCAGCATGTCCTGTATTAAAAGTATGAACCATCTCCAGGATTGTGCTAAAGCTGAAAGATTATTAAAAAAGCAGGTTTTCAAGCGTTTTATGTCATCTATAAAGTATTGCTAGTAGCAGCTGAGGATGCAGCTTGTGATTTCAAGATTTGAATCCAGAGCTTTCTTAACATTATTTTTTACTGCAGTGGATTCTACATTGTAAAACTGGGAAGTTTCTAAATGGTCTTTTAATCTGTTGGCTCACTCGCAATCTCAGGTCCCTGGATGCCCCGCGGCGCACCGTCCTCGGCCGCCCAGTGCTTCCCAATGGCCGGGAGTTGACCACGTCCTCTAAGATGACGCTGCGCGAGCAGCTGAGAGAGAAGATCTCGGCGGCCTTCTACCGCCACGGGCTGCTGTGTGCCTCCTACCCAGTACCCATCATCCTCTTCACCTCCGCCAGCATCCTCACCTGCTGGTAGGTGTCCAGCGATGTCATATTCTTGTGGTCAGAATCCAGATTCAGTTACTGTGACGTATTGATTTGGAGCATCAGTCTAAATATAGGGATCAATGTTGTGAACCAATAATTTCTGTTCCCCCCACAACTTTCCAAATCTGACATTCACACCCATTCACACGATGGTTGACTCACTGTGTGGAGGTGAGAAAGCAAACAGGGTATGAACTTCTTTTTCTTTTTTTTAATTTGTTCAATAACTTCTATCACCTTTCCTGTGTATAATTAAATGCAACTCAGTGAATGCCTTCCAGGGCGACGTGTCTGAAAATGTGCACACTTATCCCATATTTAAGAGAATTGTCACCCCTCCCTTTCATGGTCAGCTTTTCACTCTGCCTTTGGGTGTGGCGATTTAAAACAGCAATTAAATCGTCTACCTTCCTTTGTCCTCAACATGTCAATCAAACTGGTGTTCTGGCAAGACCTGTGCCTTACAGTTAGTTGCCAACAGAGCACAGGGGAAACTGAAAAAGTTCTGTTTTGTTTTGGATAGGTGGATGCAAACCTCCTGACTACTTAATAGTGCCTGTTTTTCCATACAGCCTTTATTAAAGCAGCAGAGGAAAGCAATCTTGTCATCCAGTGTGGACAGACTGAATCGCAGAGAAAGTTGCTGCATAGAGGAGACAAGTAACGGGCTCCACTCAGTTGAACCGGCCATCTGCACTCACAAAACAGCACCCCGCTGACACCCCGACACAAACGCTCACTTTAACACACGCACATATCTACTCTTGCTAAATCACTGGTCAAAAGAGAGGACATAGGTCAGGGAGTTGGCTGGGCTTCATCACTGAAGGCATTGTAAAACAATCTCAACAATCTGAAACACACACATGCACCTGCTGCGTGCTGTCCTCATAGCACTTTACAGCAGGGGTGCTGGCCAAGTGGACCACTGACCACCACCCGGGGAGAAGTGAAAGAAAAGAGCTTGACGACAGGGATGTTGAAGGCAGGACTAGAGCAGAGGGCTGTGAGAAAGTGGCCGTGTGAGAATAGGATGCCTGTCCCTCCATCTGCCTGTTAGGAGGGGGGGCTGGCTCCACACAAAAGAGGCCTTTGTGGAGGTACAGTGACCTAGGAGAGTGGAGGAGGCATGGAGGGAGGGAGGTGAGTGACACAGAAAAAAAAAACAGAAGGAAGGAAGAGGTTTCCATCGAACTGACAAGCGCATTTCTAAAAGAGAAGTAATGTTTGTACAAGGACAGAAAAGGTCCATACGGTGTCCTTGTGTAGGTCGATCATATTGATAATCAATACCAGTGACTCAGCGAAAACCTAATCGGCTGCTTTGATTTCAAACCGCTCTCACTCCCTCCTGCAGTCAATACGTGATGAACCGGCTGTGTAATAACAAATGTTTGATCTTGAAAAAATATATTTTTATGATAATGCCGCCTTTGTATCGTGGAGACTCAGTAATTACAAATCGAAAACGTAGATATTCAAACATACTTACTGTATGTTTGTGTCATAACAGGTACAGCCCACCTGCAACACTGTGCTTAGTCACTGAGGTGATTTTCAAGCCTGGAAAATGTTCCTGTGGCAGAGAAGAAGAAAGTTGCATAGTGGTTAGACGAAGTGTCAGCAAAACTATAAGCAAACAAAAAAGCTAAGATAGGGGCGGCTGCTTTAGCCCCCTCCCCCCCGGCTGAGCTGGTGACCCATGTACAGGGGCTATAGTCCCCGATGCAGTGGCCACGGGTTCGAATCCTGCTCAAGGCCCTTTGCTGCAAGTCCTTCCCCCATTCTCCTCCCCCACTTTCCTGTCTCTCTCTCTCTCTCTCTCGACTGTCCTACCTAAAAAACAAAAAAAAAAGCTAAGATATAGTTTCATTAGATTCTACTACTGTGCTGTCTTTGGCTTTGTTTCATCACTGCCTTCACAACAACTTTGTGTCCAGAGGAGCGACACTGATTCATCAAGTGGTCAGAAAATTAGCAGCAATTTTAATTATTGTCACTTTCTGAGCAGAAATGTGAAGTGATTTCTTTCTTTGACTTCTCAGACGTGAGGATTTGATGTTTTTTTCATACCTAAATAAGGTCAATTGGACACTGGGGCTCAGTGACATTTGAATGCTAAATGTTCTCCCTACCACAGTGACAAATTAGGCATGTTTCTGTTCAGCCATTGATGTGGGTATTCTGCACAAAGACAGCACACAAGCACTCAGAAAAACAACTCCATCAGAGGAACACTGTGCATAAATCTTTTTAAGCTATCTCTTCTGCCACCATTGAAAGCTCAGTCTGTCTGCTATTTTTCAAGGTTGCCCAATACTTCCATTTCAGAGCAAATTTGCTCCTCCTGTAGAGACACACACAGGCGAGGAATAAGTGGTTTGGTTCTCAGAGGGAGCTTGTTTCAGAACGACCCGCCCACTTTCAGTAGGAGGAGGGAGCGGTCTCTCTAGGTAGCATGAAGGATTTCTAGCAAGAAAAGCCAGAGGTGCTGGTTTCTCAGAAGTGTCGCAATGCCCATCACAAAACCGCAGACCGAGGTACTCGCCTTTAGGGTGACTACATCACCAAACCACGTTCTGTCTCTGTCATTGAATGCACTGCTGTGGGTTTATGTGACACTGGTACTCTCGACTGATTGGTAGGATGAAGCGAATTTCCTAGAAACACTGTTGAAAACATCTCATTATTTACCCTGTGGCCCCCTCCTCGCTCTCTGGCAGCTACCCGTTGTTGAGGCTACCCCTGCCTGGGACGGGTCCTGTGGAGTTCACCACAGGGGTGCGAGACTACAGCGTCCCTTCCCATGAGCCTCAGGGAGACCTCGGGGAGCGGCCTGACTGGGTAGGTGAAGAGAAAGCACATAAGACCTATACATTCCTGTGTGTTTACAGTTTCCCATCACCACTTTGTTTCTATCCCTCCAGTTGCATTCATTCTTTAACACTGAATCTTATTCCTCATCCTAACCTGAGACTAATTCTAAAGTCTGAATCTGCACCCTGAATTGAATTAACTAAGGAAAACTGCCCCTGCTCTGACTGTTTCTTTTGACACGCACATACAAATTTCATAGGAAAGATAGAGGCTCATAAATAATAAAGCGGAAACAGTGGCTCACTTGTTTGTCAGCAGTAGTTTTAATTTACTGGAAGCCTTTGTGGCAGGACAATAGAACACGTAACAGGATTCACACAAGACTTTCTCTGCCAAAAGAATAATCTATTAGTCCATTGGTTCATTAGACTGAAGCATTTTGTGTATCTCTACATGTGCAACATACATGTTTGTGCTTCCCCATACATATTTGCGTGTTGTGTGTTGCAGTACCGGGGCCCTCCGGTTGCCTACATCCAGCAGGTGTTGGTGAAGGCAGCGGTGTCTCCGTGGGACAGCAGCCTGGTGCCGGTGGACATGTTTCGGTCGCCGCTGGGTCGAGTCTTCGGTCTGTTGGAGGAGATTCGCAACCACGTCCACTCTGACAGGTAAACAGAGTGGTAGATGACCAGTAAAGTTAACAACAGAAACACTGCATTACATTTATACGGTGAAGGTAAAATCAAAACAGCAAAAAAATAAATAAAAACTAGAAAGCTACCAATGGGTTAACCACTGTTTACATTGATATCTCTATCATAACACATTCAATGTAGGTCAGAGCAAAGCAGTAAACCTGGTGTAAGAGAGGGAAAAAAAGAATTTATAACCTTGAGTTGTAAAGAAAAAAAAAATGGACGTCCAGTGAGTTATTGAGCTGTTGTAAACTACAGGGTCTGTGATTTGTGCTGTGTTGCAGTTCTCTGTTTGACCGCTGTTCTCTACCAAGCACTGATATGAGTGCTGATTTGTAGAACATTTTCTTGTTTTGCTGGCGAGCAGTAGTGCTGCAGGTCCTCATGAAAGACTTGATTTTTAATAATTGAATGATGTATCAAATTCATTGATGTTATCTCTGCTCAATTCGTAATTATGCTGCAAGGACATGTTGCTAGTATCAGCTCCTTTTCTTCCTTTTTGCTCCCCTTTTCTCTCACCTCTTCTCTTCACCAATATCTTCTCCTTGTCTCTCCTGTCAGCTCCGGCATTCGCAGTCTGGAGACTCTGTGCCTCCAGGTGACAGACCTGTTTCCAGGGTTACGGCGGATGCAGTCGGTGCTGCCAGAGCACGGCTGCCTGCTCGTCTCTCCTGGCAACTACTGGCAGAACCAGCGGGAGCTGTTCGACTCGGACTCTGACCTCCTCAAGACCATCCAGAAACACGAACCGAAAGGCCTGCACACCTCAGCGACGCTACGAGGTATTGATGGGAAGGACTCGGATGATGGTAGAACGCGTATAAGAAGCCAGTGTGATATTTTTATACATGTGGTGGAGGAGAACCCTTTGTATTTGGCTTTGTAGCTGAAGGGAGAAAGTGGACCGTGTAGCATGGAGTGTGACTGAGAATTGTGTGTCTGGAAAAGTAAAGGTTGGGGATTTTGAAGTTGCGACCACATGTCTGTCACCTCTGATGTTGTTTGGTGTGCAAGAATCAAGTATCAGGGACATGTAAAATCTCGTCAGCTCAATCCACCAAGAATTATGACCCTACTTGAACTTGAACGACACAGAGCTGATGATCAGGAATCTGTTGCTGGTTTTAGTCAGACACCACATCTCTTGTTGTCACATTGTTTTGGAGCTTTTGAGACTTAATCACAAACCTGCAAACTAACATTTGCAAGCAAATATACGTGCTAATACTTGT